TCCCTCCTTCCATCACCCCGCCCCATTCTCCCTCATTCTATCACCCCGCCCCATTCTCCCGCTTTCCATCACCCCGCCCCATTCTCCCGCTTCCCATAACCCCACCCCATTCTCCCGCTTTCCATCACCCCGCCACATTTTCCCACTTTCCATCACCCCGCCCCCTTCTTTCTCCTTCCATCACCCCGCCCCATTCTCCCTCCTTCCATCACCCCGCCCCATTCTCCCGCTTTCCATCAGCCCGCCCCATTCTCCCGCTGTCCATCACTCTGCCCCTTTCTCCCGCTTTCCATCACCCCCGCCCCATTTCTCCCGCTTTCCATCACCCCGCCCCTTTCTCCCGCTTTCCATCACTCCGCCCCATTCTCCCGCTTTCCATCACCCCGACCCATTCTCCCACTTTCCATCACCCCGCCCCATTCTCCCTCCTTCCATCACCCCGCCTCATTCTCCCTCCTTCCATCACCCCGCCCCATTCTCCCGCTTTCCATCACCCCGCCTCATTCTCCCGCTTTCCATCACTTAGCCCCATTCTCCCGCTTACCATCACCAGGCCCCATTTTTCCGCTTTCCATCACCCCGCCCCATTCTCCCGCTTTCCATCACCCTGCCCCAATCTCCCGCTTTCCATCACCCCGCCCCATTCTCCCTCCTTCCATCACCCTGCCCCATTCTCCCGCTTTCCATCACCCCGCCCCATTCTCCCGCTTTCCATCACCCAGCCCCATTCTCCCGCTTTCCATCACCCCGCCCCATTCTCCCGCTTTCCATCACCCCGCCCCATTCTCCCGCTTTCCATCACCCCGCCCCATTCTCCCTCCTTCCATCACCCCGCCCCATTCTCCTGCTCTCCATCACCCCGCCCCATTCTCCCTCCTTCCATCACCCCGTCCCATTCTCCCTCCTTCCATCACCCCGCCCCATTCTCCCGCTTTCCATCACCCCGCCCCATTCTCCCGCTTCCCATAACCCCGCCCCATTCTCCCTCATTCCATCACCCCGCTCCATTCTCCCGCTTTCCATCACCCCGCCCCATTCTCCCGCTTCCCATAACCCCACCCCATTCTCCTGCTTTCCATCACCCCGCCACATTTCCCCACTTTCCATCACCTCGCCCCCTTCTTCCTTCTTCCATCACCCCGGCCCATTCTCCCTCCTTCCTTCACCCCGCCCCATTCTCCCGTTTTCCATCACCCTGCCCCATTCTCCCGCTTTCCCTCACACCGCCCCATTCTTCCGCTTTCCATCACCCCGCCCCATTCTTCCGCTTCCCATCATCCCGCCCCATTCCCCCGCTTTCCATCACCCCTCCCCAATCTCCCTCCTTCCATCACCCCGCCCCATCCTCCCACTTTCCATCACCCGCCCCATTCTCCCGCTTTCCATCACCTCGCCCCATTCTCCCGCGTTCCATCACCCCGCCCCATTCTTCTGCTTTCCATCACCCCGCCCCATTCTCCCGCTTTCCATCACCCTGCCCCATTCACCCGCTTTCCATCACCCGCCCCATTCTCCCGCTTTCCATCACCCCGCCCCATTCTCCCGCTTTCCATCACCCCGCCCCATTCTCCCGCTTTTCATCACCCCGCCCCATTCTCCCGCTTTCCAACACCCCAGCCCATTCTCTCGCTTTCCATCACCCCGCCCCCTTCTTCCTCCTTCCATCACCCGCCCCATTCTCCCGCTTTCCATCACCCCGCTCCATTCTCCCGCTTTCCATCTCCCTGCCCCATTCTCCCGCTTTCCATCACCCCGTCCCATTCTCCCGCTTTCCATCACCCCGCCCCATTCTCCCGCTTCCCATCATCCCGCCCCATTCCCCCGCTTTCCATCACCCCTCCCCATTCTCCCTCCTTCCATCACCCCGCCCCATTCTCCCGCTTTCCATCACCCCGCCCCATTCTCCCTCCTTCCATCACTCCGCCCCATTCTCCCTCCTTCCATCACCCCGCCCCATTCTCCCTCTTTCCATCACCCTGCCCCATTCTCCCGCTTTCCATCAGCCCGCCCCATTCTCCCGCTTTCCATCACCCCTCCCATTTCTCCCGCTTTCCATCTCCCCGCCCCATTCTCCCGCTTTCCATCACCCCGCCCCATTCTCCCGCTTTCCATCACCCCGCCCCATTCTTCCGCTTCCCATCATCCCGCCCCATTCCCCCGCTTTTCATCACCCCTCCCCATTCTCCCTCCTATCACCCCGCCCCATTCTCTTGCTTTCCATCACCCCGCCCCGTTCTCCCGCTTTCCATCACCCCGACCCATTCTCCCGCTTTCCATCACCCCGCCCCATTCTCCCTCCTTCCATCACCCCGCCCCATTCTCCCGCTTTCCATCACCCCGCCCCATTCTCCCTCCTTCCATCACCCTGCCCCATTCTCCCTCATTCCATCACCCCGCTCCATTCTCCCGCGTTCCATCACCCCGCCCCATTCTCCCGCTTTCCATCACCCCGCCACATTTTCCCACTTTCCATCACCCCGACCCCTTCTCTCTCCTTCCATCACCCCGCCCCATTCTCCCTCCTTCCATCACCCCGCCCCATTCTCTCGCTTTCCATCAGCCCGCCCCATTCTCCCGCTTTCCATCACCCCGCCCCTTTCTCCCGCTTTCCATCTCCCCGCCCCATTCTCCCGCTTTCCATCACACCGCCCCATTCTCCCGCTTTCCATCACCCCGCCCCATTCTTCCGCTTCCCATCATCCCGCCCCATTCCCCCGCTTTCCATCACCCTTCCCCATTCTCCCTCCTTCCATCACCCCGCCCCTTTCTCCCGCTTTCCATCTCCCCGCCCCATTCTCCCGCTTTCCATCACCCGCCCCATTCTCCCGCTTTCCATCACCTCGCCCCATTCTCCCGCTCTCCATCACCCCGCCCCATTCTTCTGCTTTCCATCACCCCGCCCCATTCTCCCGCTTTCCATCACCCTGCCCCATTCACCCGCTTTCCATCACCGGCCCCATTCTCTCGCTTTCCATCACCCCGCCCCATTCTCCCACTTTCCATCACCCCGCCCCATTCTCCCGCTTTTCATCACCCCGCCCCATTCTCCCGCTTTCCAACACCCCGGCCCATTCTCTCGCTTTCCATCACCCCGCCCCTGTCTTCCTCCTTTCTTCACCCCGCCCCGTTCTCCCTCCTTCCTTCACCCCGCCCCATTCTCCCGCTTTCCATCACCCTGCCCCATTCTCCCGCTTTCCATCACCCCGCACCATTCTCCCGCTTTCCATCACCCCGCCCCATTCTCCCGCTTTCCATCACCCCGCCCCATTCTCCCGCTTTCCATCACCCCGCGCCATTCTTCCGCTTTCCATCACCCCGCCCCCTTCTCCCTCCTTCCATCACCCCGCCCCATTCTCCCTCCTTCCATCACCCCGCCCCATTCTCCCGCTTTCCATCAGCCCGCCCCATTCTCCCGCTTTCCATCACCCCGCCCCTTTCTCCCGCTTTCCATCTCCCTGCCCCATTCTCCCGCTTTCCATCACCCCGCCCCATTCTCCCGCTTTCCATCACCCCGCCCCATTCTCCCGCTTCCCATCATCCCGCCCCATTCCCCCGCTCTCCATCACCCCTCCCCATTCTCCCTCCTTCCATCACCCCGCCCCATTCTCCCGCTTTCCATTACACGCCCCATTCTCCCGCTTTCCATCACCTCGCCCCATCTCCCGCTTTCCATCACCCCGCCCCATTCTCCTGCTTTCCATCACCCCGCCCCATTCACCCGCTTTCCATCACCCGCCCCAATCTCCCACTTTCCATCACCCCGCCCCATTCTCCCACTTTCCATCACCCCGCCCCATTCTCCCGCTTTTCATCACCCCGCCCCATTCTTCAGCTTTCCATCACCCCTCCCCATTCTCCCTCCTTCCATCACCCCGCCCCTTTCTCCCGCTTTCCATCTCCCCGCCCCATTCTCCCGCTTTCCATCACCCGCCCCATTCTCCCGCTTTCCATCACCTCGCCCCATTCTCCCGCTTTCCATCAGCCTGCCCCATTCTCCCGCTTTCCATCACCCCGCCCCATTCTCCCGCTTTCCATCACCCTGCCCCATTCACCCGCTTTCCATCACCCGCCCCATTCTCCCGCTTTCCATCACCCCGCCCCATTCTCCCGCTTTCCATCACCCCGCCCCATTCTCCCGCTTTTCATCACCCCGCCCCATTCTCCCGCTTTCCAACACCCCGGCCCATTCTCTCGCTTTCCATCACCCCGCCCCCTTCTTCCTCTTTCCACCACCCCGCCCCGTTCTCCCTCCTTCCTTCACCCCGCCTTATTCTCCCGCTTTCCATCGCCCTGCCCCATTCTCCCGCTTTCCATCACCCCGCACCATTCTCCCGCTTTCCATCACCCCGCCCCATTCTCCCGCTTTCCATCACCCCGCCCCATTCTCCCGCTTTCCATCACCCCGCGCCATTCTTCCGCTTTCCATCACCCCGCCCCCTTCTCCCTCCTTCCATCACCCCGCCCCATTCTCCCTCCTTCCATCACCCCGCCCCATTCTCCCGCTTTCCATCAGCCCGCCCCATTCTCCCGCTTTCCATCACCCCGCCCCTTTCTCCCGCTTTCCATCTACCTGCCCCATTCTCCCGCTTTCCATCACCCCGCCCCATTCTCCCGCTTTCCATCACCCCGCCCCATTCTCCCGCTTCCCATCATCCCGCCCCATTCCCCCGCTTTCCATCACCCCTCCCCATTCTCCCTCCTTCCATCACCCCGCCCGATTCTCCCGCTTTCCATTACACGCCCCATTCTCCCGCTTTCCATCACCTCGCCCCATCTCCCGCTTTCCATCACCCCGCCCCATTCTCCTGCTTTCCATCACCCCGCCCCATTCTCCCGCTTTCCATCACCCCGCCCCATTCTTCCGCTTCCCATCATCCCGCCCCATTCCCCCGCTTTCCATCACCCCTCCCCATTCTCCCTCCTTCTATCACCCCGCCCCATTCTCTTGCTTTCCATCACCCCGCCCCGTTCTCCCGCTTTCCATCACCCCGACCCATTCTCCCGCTTTCCATCACCCCGCCCCATTCTCCCTCCTTCCATCACCCCGCCCCATTCTCCCGCTTTCCATCAACCCGCCCCATTCTCCCTCCTTCCATCACCCTGCCCCATTCTCCCTCATTCCATCACCCCGCTCCATTCTCCCGCTTTCCATCACCCCGCCCCATTCTCCCGCTTTCCATCAGCCCGCCCCATTCTCCCGCTTTCCATCACCCCGCCCCTTTCTCCCGCTTTCCATCTACCTGCCCCATTCTCCCGCTTTCCATCACCCCGCCCCATTCTCCCGCTTTCCATCACCCCGCCCCATTCTCCCGCTTCTCATCATCCCGCCCCATTCCCCCGCTTTCCATCACCCCTCCCCATTCTCCCTCCTTCCATCACCCCGCCCGATTCTCCCGCTTTCCATTACACGCCCCATTCTCCCGCTTTCCATCACCTCGCCCCATCTCCCGCTTTCCATCACCCCGCCCCATTCTCCTGCTTTCCATCACCCCGCCCCATTCACCCACTTTCCATCACCCGCCCCATTCTCCCGCTTTCCATCACCCCGCCCCATTCTCCCACTTTCCATCACCCCGCCCCATTTTCCCGCTTTCTATCACCCTGCCCCATTCTCACGCTTTCCATCACCCTGCCCCAATCTCCCGCATTCTATCACCCCGCCCCATTCTCCCTCCTTCCATCACCCCGCCCCATTCTCCCGCTTTCCATCACCCCGCCTCATTCTCCCGCTTTCCATAACCCCGCCCCATTATCCCTCCTTCCATCACCCGCCCCGTTCTCCCTCCTTCCATCACCCCGCCCCTTTCTCCCTCCTTCCATCACCCCGCCCTATTCTCCCGCTTTCCATCAGCCCGCCCCATTCTCCCGCTTTCCATCACCCCGCCCCATTCTCCCGCTTTCCATCACCCCGCCCCATTCTCCCGCTTTCCATCACCCCGCCCCATTCTCCCGCTTTCCATCACCCCGCCCCATTCTCCCGCTTTCCGTCACCCCGCCCCATTCTCCCGCTTTCCATCACCCCGCCCCATTCTCCCGCTTTCCATCACCCCGCCCCATTCTCCCGCTTTCCATCTCCCCGCCCCATTCTCCCTCCTTCCATCACCCCGCCTCATTCTACCTCCTTCCATCACCCCGCCCCATGCTCCCGCTTTCCATCACCCCGTCCCATTCTCCCACTTTCCATCACCCCGCCCCATTCTCCCTCCTTCCATCACCCCGCCCCATTCTCCCGCTTTCCATCAGCCCACCCCATTCTCCCGCTTTCCATCTCCCCGCCCCATTCTACCTCCTTCCATCTCCCCGCCCCATGCTCCCACTTTCCATCACCCCGCCCCATTCTCCCGCTTTCCATCACCCCGCCCCATTCTCCCTCCTTCCATCACACCGCCCCATTCTCCCGCTTTCCATCACCGCGCCCCATTCTCCCACTTTCCATCATCTCGCCCCATTCTCCCTCCTTCCATCACCCCACCCCATTCTCCCTCCTTCCATCACCCCGCCCCATTCTCCCGCTTTCCATCACCCCGCCCCATTCTCCCTCCTTCCATCACCCTGCCCCATTCTCCCGCTTTCCATCACCCCGCGCTATTCTCCCTCCTTCCATCACCCCGCCCCATTCTCCCGCTTTCCATCACCCCGCCCCATTCTCCCGCTTCCCATAACCCCACCTCATTCTCCCGCTTTCCATCACCCCGCCACATTCTCCCGCTTTCCATCACCCCGCCCCATTCTCCTTCCTTCCATCACCCCGCCCCATTCTCCCGCTTTCCATCACCCCGCTCCATTCTCCCGCTTTCCATCACGCCGCCCCCTTCTCCCTCCTTCCATCACCCCGCCCCATTCTCCCTCCTTCCATCACCCCGCCCCATTCTCCCGCTTTCCATCAGCCCGCCCCTTTCTCCCGCTTTCCATCTCCCTGCCCCATTCTCCCGCTTTCCATCAACCCGCCCCATTCTCCCGCTTTCCATCACCCCGCCCCATTCTCCCACTTCCCATCATCCCGCCCCATTCCCCCGCTTTCCATCACCCCTCCCCATTCTCCCTCCTTCTATCACCCCGCCCCATTCTCCCGCTTTCCATTACCCGCCCCATTCTCCCGCTTTCCATCACCTCGCCCCATCTCCCGCTTTCTATCACCCCGCCCTATTCTTCTGCTTTCCATCACCCCGCCCCATTCTCCTGCTTTCCATCACCCCGCCCCATTCACCCGCTTTCCATCACCCCGCCCTATTCTTCTGCTTTCCATCACCCCGCCCCATTCTCTCGCTTTCCATCACCCCGCACCCTTCTTCCTCCTTCCATCACCCGCCCCATTCTCCCGCTTTCCATCACCCCGCCCCATTCTCCCGCTTTCCATCACCCCGCTTCATTCTCCCGCTTTCCATCACCCCGCCCCGTTCTCCCGCTTCCCATAACCCCACCCCATTCTCCCGCTTTCCATCACCCCGCCACATTTTCCCACTTTCCATCACCCCGCCCCCTTCTCTCTCCTTCCATCACCCCGCCCCATTCTCCCTCCTTCCATCACCCTGCCCCATTCTCCCGCTTTCCATCAGCCCGCCCCATTCTCCCGCTTTCCATCACCCCGCCCCTTTCTCCCGCTTTCCATCTCCCCGCCCCATTCTCCCGCTTTCCATCACACGGCCCCATTCTCCCGCTTTCCATCACCCCGCCCCATTCTTCCGCTTCCCATCATCCCGCCCCATTCCCCCCTTTTCCATCACCCCTCCCCATTCTCCCTCCTTCTATCACCCCGCCCCTTTCTCCCGCTTTCCATCTCCCGCCCCATTCTCCCGCTTTCCATCACCCGCCCCATTCTCCCGCTTTCCATCACCTCGCCCCATTCTCCCGCTTTCCATCACCCCGCCCCATTCTTCTGCTTTCCATCACCCCGCCCCATTCTCCCGCCTTCCATCACCCTACCCCATTCACCCGCTTTCCATCACCCGCCCCATTCTCCCGCTTTCCATCACAACGCCCCATTCTCCCGCTTTCCATCACCCCGCCCCATTCTCCCGCTTTTCATCACCCCGCCCCATTCTCCCGCTTTCCAACACCCCGGCCCATTCTCCCGCTTTCCATCACCCCGCCCCCTTCTTCCTCCTTCCATCACCCCGCCCCATTCTCCCTCCTTCCTTCACCCCGCCCCATTCTCCCGCTTTCCATCACCCTGCCCCATTCCTCCGCTTTCCATCACCCCGCACCATTCTCCCACTTTCCATCACCCCGCCCCATTCTCCCGCTTTCCATCACCCTGCCCCATTCTCCCGCTTTCCATCACCCCGCGCCATTCTTCCGCTTTCCATCACCCCGCCCCCTTCTCCCTCCTTCCATCACCCCGCCCCATTCTCCCTCCTTCCATCACCCCGCCCCATTCTCCCGCTTTCCATTACCCGCCCCATTCTCCCTCTTTCCATCACCTCGCCCCATCTCCCGCTTTCCATCACCCCGCCCTATTCTTCTGCTTTCCATCACCCCGCCCCATTCTCCTGCTTTCCATCACCCCGCCCCATTCACCCGCTTTCCATCACCCCGCCCTATTCTTCTGCTTTCCATCACCCCGCCCCATTCTCTCGCTTTCCATCACCCCGCACCCTTCTTCCTCCTTCCATCACCCGCCCCATTCTCCCGCTTTCCATCACCCCGCCCCATTCTCCCGCTTTCCATCACCCCGCTTCATTCTCCCGCTTTCCATCACCCCGCCCCATTCTCCCGCTTCCCATAACCCCACCCCATTCTCCCGCTTTCCATCACCCCGCCACATTTTCCCACTTTCCATCACCCCGCCCCCTTCTCTCTCCTTCCATCACCCCGGCCCATTCTCCCTCCTTCCATCACCCTGCCCCATTCTCCCGCTTTCCATAAGCCCGCCCCATTCTCCCGCTTTCCATCACCCCGCCCCTTTCTCCCGCTTTCCATCTCCCCGCCCCATTCTCCAGCTTTCCATCACACGGCCCCATTCTCCCGCTTTCCATCACCCCGCCCCATTCTTCCGCTTCCCATCATCCCGCCCCATTCCCCCGCTTTCCATCACCCCTCCCCATTCTCCCTCCTTCCATCACCCCGCCCCATTCTCCCACTTTCCATCACCCGCCCCATTCTCCCGCTTTCCATCACCTCGCCCCACTCTCCCGCTTTCCATCACCCCGCCCCATTCTTCTGCTTTCCATCACCCTGCCCCATTCTCCCGCTTTCCATCACCCCGCCCCATTCTCCCGCTTTCCATCACCCCGCCCCATTCTCCCGCTTTCCATCACCCAGCCCATTCTCCCGCTTTCCATCACCCCGCCCCATTCTCCCGCTTTCCATCACCCCGCCCCATTCTCCCGCTTTTCATCACCCCGCCCCATTCTCCCGCTTTCCAACACCCCAGCCCATTCTCTCGCTTACCATCACTCCGCCCCCTTCTTCCTCCTTCCATCACCCCGCCCCATTCTCCCTCCTTCCTTCACCCCGCCCCATTCTCCCGCTTTCCATCACCCTGCCCCATTCTCCCGCTTTCCATCACCCCGCCCCATTCTCCCGCTTTTCCATCACCCCGCCCCATTCTCCCTCCTTCCATCACCCCGCCCCATTCTCCCGCTTTCCATCACCCCGCCCCATTCTCCCGCTTTCCATCACCCCGCCCCCTTCTCCCTCCTTCCATCACCCCGCCCCATTCTCCCTCCTTCCATCACCCCGCCCCATTCTCCCGCTTTCCATCACCCCGCCCCATTCTCCCGCTTTCCATCACCCCGCCCCTTTCTCCCGCTTTCCATCTCCGTGCCCCATTCTCCTGCTTTCCATCACCCCGCCCCATTCTCCCGCTTTCCATCACCCCGCCCCATTCTCCCGCTTCCCATCATCCCGCCCCATTCTCCCGCTTTCTATCACCCCGCCCCATTCTCCCTCCTTCCATCACCCCGCCCCATTCTCCTGCTTTCCATCACCCCGCCCCATTCTCCCGCTTTCCACCACCCCGCCCCCTTCTCCCTCCTTCCATCACCCCGCCCCATTCTCCCTCCTTCCATCACCCCGCCCCATTCTCCCGCTTTCCATCAGCCCGCCCCATTCTCCCGCTTTCCATCACCCCGCCCCTTTCTCCCGCTTTCCATCTCCCTGCCCCATTCTCCCGCTTTCCATCTCCCCGCCCCATTCTCCCACTTTCCATCACCCCGCCCCATTCCCCCGCTTCCCATCATCCCGCCCCATTCCCCTGCTTTCCATCACCCCTCCCCATTCTCCCCTCTTCCATCACCCCGCCCCATTCTCCCGGTTTCCATCACCCAGCCCCATTCTCTCACTTTCCATCACCGCGCCCCATTCTCCCGCTTTCCATCACCCCGACCCATTCTCCCGCTTTCCATCACCCCGCCCCATTCTCCCTCCTTCCATCACCCCGCCCCATTCTCCCGCTTTCCATCACCTCGCCCCATTCTCCCTCCTTCCATCACCCCGCCCCATTCTCCCTCATTCCATCACCCCGCTCCATTCTCCCGCTTTCCATCACCCCGCGCCATTCTCCCGCTTCCCATAACCTCACCCCATTCTCCCGCTTTCCATCACCCCGCCACATTTTCCCACTTTCCATCACCCCGCCCCCTTCTCTCTCCTTCCATCACCCCGCCCCATTCTCCCTCCTTCCATCACCCCGCCCCATTCTCCCGCTTTCCATCAGCCCGCCCCATTCTCCAGCTTTCCATCACCCCGCCCCTTTCTCCCGCTTTCCATCTCCCCGCCCCATTCTCCCGCTTTCCATCAGACCGCCCAATTCTCCCGCTTTCCATCACCCTGCCCCATTCTTCCGCTTCCCATCATCCCGCCCCATTCCCCCGCTTTCCATCACCCCTCCCCATTCTCCCTCCTTCCATCACCCCGCCCCTTTCTCCCGCTTTCCATCTCCCGCCCCATTCTCCCGCTTTCCATCACCCGCCCCATTCTCCCGCTTTCCATCACCTCGCCCCATTCTCTCGCTTTCCATCACCCCGCCCCATTCTTCTGCTTTCCATCACCCCGCCCCATTCTCCCGCTTTCCATCACCCTGCCCCATTCACCCGCTTTCCATCACCCGCCCCATTCTCCCGCTTTCCATCACACCGCCCCATTCTCCCGCTTTCCATCACCCCGCCCCATTCTCCCGCTTTTCATCACCCCGCCCCATTCTCCCGCTTTCCAACACCCCGGCCCATTCTCTCGCTTTCCATCACCCCGCCCCCTTCTTCCTCTTTCCATCACCCCGCCCCATTCTCCCTCCTTCCTTCACCCCGCCCCATTCTCCCGCTTTCCATCACCCTGCCCCATTCCTCCGCTTTCCATCACCCCGCACCATTCTCCCACTTTCCATCACCCCGCCCCATTCTCCCGCTTTCCATCACCCTACCCCATTCTCCCGCTTTCCATCACCCCGCGCCATTCTTCCGCTTTCCATCACCCCGCCCCCTTCTCCCTCCATCCATCACCCCGCCCCATTCTCCCTCCTTCCATCACCCCGCCCCATTCTCCCGCTTTCCATCAGCCCGCCCCATTCTCCCGCTTTCCATCACCCCGCCCCTTTCTCCCGCTTTCCATCTCCCTGCCCCATTCTCCCGCTTTCCATCACCCCGCCCTATTCTCCCGCTTTCCATCACCCCGCCCCATTCTCCCGCTTCCCATCATCCCGCCCCATTCCCCCGCTTTCCATCACCCCTCCCCATTCTCCCTCCTTCCATCACCCCGCCCCATTCTCCCGCTTTCCATTACACGCCCCATTCTCCCGCTTTCCATCACCCCTCCCCATTCTCCTGCTTTCCATCACCCAGCCCCATTCACCTGCTTTCCATCACCCGCCCCATTCTCCCGCTTTCCATCACCCCGCCCCATTCTCCCACTTTCCATCACCCCGCCCCATTCTCCCGCTTTTCATCACCCCGCCCCATTCTCCCGCTTTCCAACACCCCGCCCCATTCTCCCGCTTTCCATCACCCCGCCCCATTCTCCCGCTTTTCATCACCCCGCCCCATTCTCCCTCCTTCCATCACCCCGCCTCATTCTCCCTGCTTCCATCACCCCGCCCCATTCTCCCGCTTTCCATCACCCCGCCCCATTCTCCCGCTTTCCATCTCCAGTACCACGCAAGCTCTAAGACCAGGTAAGCTCTTGGACCAGGCAAGCTCTTGGACCAGGCAAGCTCCTAGACCAGGCAAGCTCGTGGACCACGCACGCTCCTGGACCAGGCAAGCTCCTAGACCAGGAAAGCTCCTGGACCTGGCAAGCTCCTAGACCAGGCAAGCTCCTGGACCAGGCAAGCTCCTAGACCAGGCAAGCTCCCGGACCAGGCAAGCTCTTGGACCAGGCAAGCTCATGGACCAGGCAAGCTCCTGGACCAGGCAAGCTCCTGGACCATGCAAGCTCGTGAACCAAGCATGCTCGTGCACGAGGCAAGCTCGTGGACCAGGCACGCTCCTGGACCATGCAAGCTCCTGGACCACGCAAGCTCTTGGACCAGGCACGCTCATGGACCATGCAAGCTCTTGGACCACGCACGCTCCTGGAAAAAGCAAGCTCTTGGACCAGGCTAGCTCGTGGACCACGCACGCTATTGGACCAGGCACGCTCCTCGACCAGTCAAGCTCTTGGACTAGGCAGGCTTCTGGGCCAAGCAAGCTCATGGACCAAGCAAGCTCCTGGACCATGCACGCTCCTGGACCAGGCAAGCTTCTGGACCAGACAAGCTCCTCGACCAGGCAAGCTCCTGGACCAGGCAAGCTCTTGGACCAGGCAAGCTCGTGGACCAGGCACGCTCCTTGACCAGGCAAGCTCCTGGACAAGGCAAGCTCCTGGACCAGGCAAGCTCCTGGACCAGGCACGCTCCTGGACCAGGCAAGCTCCTAGACCAGGCAAGCTCTTGGACGAGGAAATCTCGTGGACCAGGCAAGCTCTTGGACCAGGCAAGCTTCTGGACCAAGCAAGCTCCTGGACTAGGCGAGCTCTTGGACTAGGCAAGCTCTTGGACCAGGCAAGCTCAAGGACCAAGCAAGCTCCTGGACCAGGAAAGCTCCTGGACCAGGCATGCTCCTGGACCAGGTAAGCTCTTGAACCTGGAAAGCTCCTAGACGAGGCAAGCTCCTAGAATAGGCAAGCTTCTAGACCAGGCAAGCTCTTGGAGCAGGCAGGCTCCTGGACCAGGCAAGCTCTTGGACCAGGCAAGCTCCGGGACCAGGCAAGCTTTTGGAACATGCAAGCTCATAGACCATGCAAGCTCCTGGACCAGGCAAGCTCTTGGACCACGCATGCTCCTAGACCAGGCAAGCTCCTGGACCAGGCAAGCTCTGGGACCAAGCACGCTCTTGGACATAGCAAGCTCTTGGACCAGGCACGCTCCTGGAATGGGCAAGCTCCTGGACCAGGCAAGCTCTTAGACCAGGCAAGCTCTTGGACCACGCAGGCTCGTGGACAAGGCACGCTCCTGGACCAGGTAAGCTCCTGGACGAGGCAAGCTCATGGACCAGGCAAGCTCCTGGACCAGGTAAGCTCCTGGACCAGGCAAGCTCCTAGACCACGCAAGCTCCTGGACCAGGCAAGCTCCTGGGCCAGGCACGCTCGCGAACTAGGCACGCTCTTGGACTAGGCAAGCTCTTGGACCAGACAAGCTCGTGGACCAGGCACGCTCCTGGACCAGGCAAGCTCCTGGACAAGGCAAGCTCCTGGACCAGGCAAGCTCCTGGACCACGCAAGCTCTTGGACGAGGAAATCTCGTGGACAAGGCAAGCTCTTCGACCAGGCAAGCTCCTGGACCAAGCAAGCTCCTGGACTAGGCGATCTCTTGGACTAGGCAAGCTCTTGGACCAGGCAAGCTCAAGGACCAAGCAAGCTCCTGGACCACGAAAGCTCCTGGACCAGGCATGCTCCTGGACCAGGTAAGCTCTTGAACCTGGAGAGCTCCTGGACGAGGCAAGCTCCTAGAACAGGCAAGCTTCTAGACCAGGCAAGCTCTTGGAGCAGGCACGCTCCTGGACCACGCAAGCTCTTGGACCAGGCAAGCTCCTGGACCAGGCAAGCTTCTGGAACATGCAAGCTCGTGGACCATGCAAGCTCCTGGACCAGGCAAGCTCTTGGACGACGCATGCTCCTAGACCAGGCAAGCTCCTGGACCATGCAAGCTCGTGGACCAGGCATGCTCATGCACGAGGCAAGCTCGTGGACCAGGCACGCTCCTGGACCACGCAAGCTCCTGGACCACGCAAGCTCTTGGACCAGGCACGCTCATGGACCAAGCAAGCTCTTGGACCACGCACGCTCCTGGACAAAGCAAGCTCCTGGACCAGGCTAGCTCGTAGACCACGCACGCTATTGGACTAGGCACGCTCCTCGACCAGTCAAGCTCTTGGACTAGGCAGGCTTCTGGGCCAAGCAAGCTCCTGGACCAAGCAAGCTCCTGGACCATGCACGCTCCTGGACCAAGCAAGCTCCTGGACCAGACAAGCTCCTCGACCAGGCAAGCTCCTGGACCAGGCAAGCTCTTGGACCAGGCAAGCTCCTGGGCCAGGCACGCTCGCGGACGAGGCACGCTCTTGGACCAGGCAAGCTCTTGGACCAGGCAAGCTCGTGGACCAGGCAGGCTCTTGGACCAGGCAAGCTCCTGGACAAGGCAAGCTCGTGGACCAGGCAAGCTCCTGGACCAGGCACGCTCCTGGACCAGGCAAGCTCCTGGACCAGGCAAGCTCTTGGACGAGGAAATCTCGTGGACCAGGCAAGCTCTTGGACCAGGCAAGCTCCTGGACCAAGCAAGCTCCTGGACTAGGCAAGCTCTTGGACTAGGCAAGCTCTTGGACCAGGCAAGCTCAAGGACCAAGCAAGCTCCTGGACCAGGCAAGCTCCTAGAACAGGCAAGCTTCTAGACCAGGCAAGCTCTTGGAGCAGGCACGCTCCTGGACCAGGCAAGCTCTTGGACCAGGCAAGCTCCAGGACTAGGCAAGCTTCTGGAACATGCAAGCTCGTGGACCATGCAAGCTCCTGGACTAGGCAAGCTCTTGGACCACGCATGCTCCTAGACCAGGCAAGCTCCTGGACCAGGCAAGCTCCGGGACCAAGCACGCTCTTGGACATAGCAAGCTCTTGGACCAGGCACGCTCCTGGAACGGGCAAGCTCCTGGACTAGGCAAGCTCTTAGACCAGGCAAGCTCTTGGACCAGGCAGGCTCGTGGACCAGGCACGCTCCTGGAACGGGCAAGCTCCTGGACTAGGCAAGCTCTTAGACCAGGCAAGCTCTTGGACCAGGCAAGCTCGTGGACCAGGCACGCTCCTGGACCAGGCAAGCTCATGGACAAGGCAAGCTCCTGGACCAGGCAAGCTCCTTGACCAGGCACGCTCCTGGACCAGGCAAGCTCCTGGACCAGGCAAGCTCTTGGACGAGGAAATCTCGTGGACCAGGCAAGCTCTTGGACCACGCAAGCTCCTGGACCAAACAAGCTCCTGGACTAGGCGATCTCTTGGACCCGGCAAGCTCAAGGACCAAGCAAGCTCCTGGACCAGGAAAGCTCCTGGACCAGGCATGCTCCTGGACAAGGTAAGCTCTTGAACCTGGAAAGCTGCTGGACGAGGCAAGCTCCTAGAACAGGCAAGCTTCTAGACCAGGCAAGCTCTTCGAGCAGGCACGCTCCTGGACCAGGCAAGCTTCAAGAACATGCAAGCTCGTGGACCATGCAAGCTCCTGGACCAGGCAAGCTCTTGGACCACGCATGCTCCTAGACCAGGCAAGCTCCTGGACCAGGCAAGCTCCGGGACCAAGCACGCTCTTGGACATAGCAAGCTCTTGGACCAGGCACGCTCATGGAACGGGCAAGCTCCTGGACCAAGCAAGCTCTTAGACCAGGCAAGCTCTTGGACCAGGCAGGCTCGTGGACCAGGCACGCTCCTGGACCAGGTAAGCTCCTGGACCAGGCAAGCTCCTGGACCAGGCAAGCTCCTGGACCAGGCAAGCTCCTGGACCAGGCACGCTCCTGGACCAGGCACGCTCCTGAACCAGGCAAGCTCCTGGACCAGGCAAGCTCCTGGACCTGGCACGCTCGTGGACCAGGCAAGCTCCTGGACTAGGCAAGCTCCTGGACCAGGCAAGCTCCTAGACCAGGCAAACTCGTGGACCAGGCACGCACCTGGACCAGGCAAGATCCTGGACCAGGCAAGCTCCTAGACAAGGCACGCTCCTGGACCAGGCAAGCTTTTGGACGAGGCAAGCTCCAGGACCACGCAAGCTCTTGGACCAGGTAAGCTTTTAGACCAGGCAAGCTCTTGGACCAGGCAAGCTCCTAGACCAGGCAAGCTCGTGGACCACGCACGCTCCTGGACCAGGCAAGCTCCCGGACCAGGCAAGCTCCTGGATCAGGCAAGCTCCTAGACCAGGCAAGCTCCTGGACCAGGCAAGCTCCTGGACCAGGCAAGCTCATGGACCAGGCAAGCTCCTGGACCAGGTAAGCTCCTGGACCAGGCAAGCTCTTGGACCAGGCAAGCTCCTGGACCAGGCAAGCTCCTGGACCAGGCAAGCTCCTGGACCAGGCAAGCTCATGGACCAGGCAAGCTCCTGGACTAGGCAAGCTCCTGGATCGGGCAAGCTCCTGGACCATGCAAGCTCGTGGACCAGGCACGCTCGTGCACCAGGCAAGCTTGTGGACCAGGCAAGCTCCTGGACCACGCAAGCTCCTGGACCAGGCAAGCTCCTGGACCACGCAAGCTCTTGGACCAGGCACGCTCATGGACCAGGCAAGCTCTTGGACCACGCAAGCTCCTGGACTAGGCACGCTCCTCGACCAGTCAAGCTCTTGGACCAGGCAGGCTTCTGGACCAAGCAAGCTCCTGGACCTGCCAAGTTCGTGGACCACGCAAGCTTTTGGACCAGGCACGCTTCTTGACCAAGCAAGCTCCTGGACCAGGCTAGCTCGTGGACCACGCAAGCTCTTGGACCAGACATGCTCCTCGACCAGTCAAGCTCTTGGACCAGGTAGGCTTCTGGACCAAGCAAGCTCCTAGACCAGGCAAGCTCCTAGACCATGCACGCTCCTGGCCCACGCAAGCTCCTGGACCAGGCAAGCTCCTCGACCAGGCAAGCTCCTGGACCAGGGAAGCTCCTCGACCAGGCAAGCTCCTGGACCAGGCAAGC